TGCGAAATCCCCCCTTACACAAGCGCATCATGGAAATCCATTCCCCGAAAATATGGTTTTTGAAGGTTTTAAAATAGTGATGACTCTTGCAGGGTCTTTTGGGAGGCCCCCGAAGGGGGGGGGGGACGATCAGTCAGGATGTTTCTGAGGTGAGAGAGCAGCAGCACTGCCACATTTTTGGGAGAGGGAGATGGTTGGATGGAGGAGTGTATGTTTCAGTCCGTATCTCTGGGATTGTTTTTTGGGGGATGGAATGTAAAATGACTTGGTGTACGAGAGAGAGTCGGTAGTTTCATCATCCGAAACAAAAAAAAATTTTCCTTTCTCCCGATTTGGAGGAATCATCGTGACAATTCCCGGTCGGGTGGTTTCGCCTGGTGAAACCGGCGGTCAGGTTTGGATGGATGCAGGGTTGACATGGGGCAGGGGTGTTAGCTGATCACCCTTTGCCGTGTTCTTGGGTTTCTTGTCAAGAGCCATTCGTTTAGGGCACGTTGCTGTTGGTTGGTGAGGTTTGTTGAGATTGGATATGAATTTTGGTGAGGGCTGGTGGTGGTGGTAGTGACGTCTGAGAGGGTGTGCGAGCGTACTGTACCCGTCCCGTGCCCGTGGTGCTGGTCAAAGAAGAACGAATGACATCTCCCACGTGGGAAAAAACTCACCGTTTCAATTCACGGAGTTTTTTTCTTTTTTTCCCCTTACTTGGGCGTGTGTTGATCAGCGGATACGGAGTGTATCATGCAAAATTCTCTTTCCCATGTTCGATAACTCATGCCCAATATATGGTGAAAAAGAAACCTTTTAATTCTGGACGGGATGTCGTCTGTGGGGTCGTATCCCCTTTCCCTTAAGCCACGAAATCCACCCGTCAAATCTCACCCACCCCCCTGCCGGGAAGTATGGTAGATCTACCGTGCGTGAACCGAGCGGCATCTCATTCAGATGCTGGGAAACTGCCTATTTGGGAAAGTGAGGGGGTACACACTCCTCGCAAACAAACTGGGATGAACAGAATAGTTTTATGGAAATAGAAAACTCAAATACAACGTATCACCGCAGGAAGCAATTGTAATCCAGATACCCGATTCGTCTCTTCTTCTCTCTTTCCCTTGTGTGTGTGTGTGTGTGTGTGTGTTGTTGTTGATGATAATAACAGCCCGTTATCCTTGGCTGTCGTCTTGGCTGACCTGTGTTTGCATTCCCGCGTGCCGCGGAGCGGGACAAGGGTGACGAGGGGCTAAAAAGGGGCGTAAACACTAAACAAGGGGGGACGGACAGCTGGATCTGGTGGGCGGTGAAGTAAAGATTTCCCCCCATGTTCATATCTCACGGCCACTCCGGGCTATTGCAGTCCGAGCCAAAAGAAATGACGACGAGGAAGAGAAAAAAAAAAAGGTATGTTTGATTTCAAGCGTGGCTGTGTGCCTTTGAAAAAGCATGGCAAAAAAGACACAGACCACAGTAGTAAGACAAAATGTAGATAACGCAGTCATGTGTGACTCAAACTTTCAACTCCCAACCGGATACCCTACCAGTTTCACCTTCCCAGTCCAAAGCGAGAGACAGAGATAAAAAGACACATGTATCAGAGACAAAAAACTATGCGAGGAATTTCCAAATCTCCCAAATGATGAAATGTAAAACACACATACAACCAAACTCGCTCTTTCCAAAAAGATGATAATCAAAAAGATGCAATGTTCCGCGCGCTTGTGTACCCGGTAGCCGATTCCCATTTGTTTCCTAGGCCATCCAAGAAGGAAAGAAAAAACTGACTCTCTCAAACTCCCGCAAACCCAACCACAACGCTAAAAAAAATTCCAAGCCCAATCCGTTTCCAATTTTATCCCCCTAACCAGCGCACCGGCGCATTGTCCAAAAGAAAGAAAAGCCAATCACTTTTCCCTGTGATCCCAAGCCAATAAAGTAAAACTTGTGCAATGTCATACAGGGGAATCCCTCGGCAGCACCGTCGGTGGTGTCGCACGAGGCTCTGGCGTCGGCGTCGTCCTCCCAGTGGTTGGCAATTCTATCTTGACGACCGGCGATCGGGGCGGTACTGTAAGACCGGCAGAAGAATAACTCGGCCGGGGACTGGTCATGGGTACGGGTAGCAGGGCAGCCGGCGGCGGACTCGAGATTGCGCCGTTGATGATCGTCGTCATCCCCTTCCGGAAAGCGACAATGACGTGGCCGCCCTCGCCTCTGCAGATGACCTCGCCCCGATCTGCCCCGATCCCCCCCGGGTCTTCCGTGAATCTGATAATCGGGGATCCGTCCGGGGTGTATCCGACGAGCTTTCCTGGGATTTCGCCGTCTTCCTTCTCGCTCTCCTCGCCAAAGAGTGTTTGTCTGGAAAACATCATTGGTTAGCAAAATGGATAGTCTCTTCCGTCTCTTCCGTCTCCTCCCGGGGAGGTGCATATGAGTGACATACTCTCTGCTGATTGGCACACCATTCAGTTCCATGCGACTGGAGCTGCAGTTTGACACGGCACGATGGCGAGCCCTGCTGCGGCTCCTAGACCGCATCCTTTCAGCCCGCCTGCGTACCGAGCTGTGAAGCGCGTGACCGATGCCGGCAACGACAAGTACAGGAGTACCCAATGCCAACGCCCAAGGGCTGTCTGGTTGTTAGTGATGGCTTCATTTTGAGGGGACGAGACGATAGACTCACGGGTTCTTCCTAGCGCGAACGCTGTTGTAGACCGCAAGGAGGATACCAAAGATGGCAATCAGTGACCCAACTTGCAACATGGTCCATGTTGACCAATATAGCGACATGAGGTCCTCTCCATCACAAAATTGCAAGGCCAACAGGGCATATACCTCCATCACAACGGCAACAACCGAGATACTGGAATAGAGCGCGCAGACATAGAAGCACCGTTTCATCTTCTTCTTGTATTCTGGACATCCCGGCTCCAGGTCTGAGACCTTTTCCATATCACTAGACAGTAGTCAGCGCCCATCCAATTTCCTACCCCCCCAAAAAAATGAGGACATGAACTGACCCGCTGTATTTCCATGACGACAAAAAGAGCATGGAGACAACAAGGATGAAGAGAAACCAGTAGATAAAGTCAAAGGCCTGCCGGTGCAGGTGCGAGGCGAATGCTGCATAGTATAGACATTTGGCCTCGTCTCGCTCAAAGGCGGCCATGGTGTGGCGCTGGTGTACCGGTGCGCTGGTAAAGACGTTTGAAGAAGAACGAAGAACAAAATAGGAAGCAACAAGTCTGATGAAACGGCCGAGCGGTGAGAAAGTCCAACGTTGAAAAAGCTAGCGTTCCAAGACTGTCTATTCAAGTGGCGTGTTGACCCTTTCATGAACATGGACCTAAAGCTGGGGACCGGGGGGAAGGTTGGGACATAAATACGTATCAAAATCGTGGCCGGCGCTGGGGCTGGGAGGGGGGAGGGCATGGGGTGGACGGGGGAGATAAAGTGACGTACAA